TTTTCTAACATGTTCTATAATTGGTACTATTAGCAACAAAATTAATAAGAGGTCATTGTACAAATTCAGAGGGAGTTTTACTCATCATCTCTACTGATAAACAATAATCATAATTACAATGGTAAAAATTTATATTGAAAAATTATTTTGAATAATTTCAATGCCTTTCTTGAAAGGAGTTGAATGTGTTTTGCACACATCAGCTCATCAGTTACATTAGTCCATGAATCCTGGTACCATCACGTGAGGAAGGATTCCATATCTTCTCATAGCCTCTAGTTGGGAGGGGAAAAGTTATATATGTTTATAGTTAGATTGGATTCTCCTTCCTCTGACTAGATAACAGGTATTCTTCACTCAAATGACATATTATCTTTCTGAATCAGAATGCTATCTACAATTAATCCTAGTCCTAGGCATAGAAGCACAAAATTCTTTCTCATGCCAATACTGGTTACATAATTTCATACATATACAATTGAAAAAATCTTGATCTCTACTAAAATTACTTGAAACAATGACTTTATGATACAAATGCCATAAAATTAATATCTAACTATAGGAAAAAAAATGGTAAGATCATGAAAAATCCCACCCAGTAAGAGTTAATTCTATTACATGCTGAACCCATCAACCTTACTTACTGGACTACTTCATAAACCAGTCATTTGTGAACAATTACTTTAAACCATCATGCCATTCATTATCCTGAAAAATAGGATAATGGAATGCTCTATCTCCCCAAAGTCTGCCCACTGTAAACAGTCCATCCCTCTTTGCTGACTCCAAAAGCTGTATAAACATACTGCAATCAAACTCACTATAGCTTATAGAAATCCTTTCTTTAAATAATCTACAAAATACCAATCTAATGTAAATACAAGAAAGAGAAGTTTTTACTAACACAACATTTTGTATTTACAGTATTCTGAACAGTGCTTAAACCTGCACTGGTTATATAAAAGGCACTACCCCAACGCCACCTCCCAGCCCAGGCTGACAGCATGCTTAGTTCTCTCATTTACACCACACTGCAATAACATAAAGAAGGGTTTACTATTAATCCAGGTTTTACTACAAAGCGACCCGTTATTTCTCTGTCAAACACTAGCAAGAGTGCCAAGTGTCTGTCATCCAATTCAGGGGATTAAGTCTTCTTTTATAGTCTGATACTTGTACCAATTTATAAAAATACAGATATAGTTTCTTAGAGTTGGTCACAGTCTATATTTTGGCTTGGATTCAGGCAGCAGAGGTTGACTATGACAGCTGGCAGGAAACTGAGGGGAGAATACATCCTCCCCCTTCAGTCACCACATCCCAGTTGCCATAGTGATTAATCCTTAATTGAATGCTGTCTTTGTACATTTCTTTTCAGAAAACTTTAAGTAAACTTAAGTTGAAAACATGCAGTTGATTGAAAAAAAGGAGGCACCATATCACGAACAGGTATAGTGAAGTTTTATGACATGCTTCCATATAATAAAAGAACAAATTAACTCTAATAAAGGTATTATCAGTTCCTTCAAATGCTTAAAACATTTCTTTTTGGTCTGAGCTTAAACCTAAGTCCCACAAGTTTTCTCTCATGTTATCAGACATTTCATCTTTTAAAATGAGCTGTTTTTCAGAAATGGCTCTAAAATATCCAAGTATAATTTAAGGTAAAATGTGTTCTTATTTTGCATATTATTTTGCATAGTTCATATTATCAAATGACAAAGGTATATGTAGAAATTTATTTTAGGAGAGATAAGTTTTAATTTAGGACATCTATAAAATATGTTCTATAACTAAAAACTAATTTATAAAAGTATAAATTATAAGAAACCAAAGAAAACATTGAATATAGTATATTTCACGCCTTTTCTAATATATGGTTGAATTTGAAAAGCAGATTCATAGTTTTTGTTATTTTAGTTATCAATAATTACTATACATCAAAAGGACTGAGAAACTGAAAGACCATAAGATTTCATCTAGGATTATGGTGTTCACTACTTCTCTTTTCCAAGTTTTCCATCTAGTATTTGCAATTTAGTTTAATGCCTCTAACTCAGAGTCAACTATAATATTCCTTAGAAAGTGAAATACTGGCATATTGTGGCCACTGTTATTTGTGTATTGATTTCATACAAATAAATAGGATTTGTTTTTTCTTAGAAAGTGAAAGTAGCACATCCGCACTGGCTGCAGACGCGTACTATCTGCATGTGCGCGCACGTACACACAATCTTTTCAAACACAAGTAAAGTTCTTTAATAAAACTTTGATGACAGATATGAAGCACTCAGAAGAATTCGCAGTAATCAGAAAGATTCTGAATTTGAGCCCCAGATGAAAGATACTGTACTGTAGGTGGGAGGTCTAGGATTTTTGGAGACTACAGGTTTATAGGAATTTTCTGACACTATGACTGAGTCTCTTGTTCTCGCTTCATTTTCTTTCCCCTCTGTTTATTCCTTTTTCTTCCCATAACTATTTTTAAATTCTTTCCTAACTGCAAATTTACTATTGCCACCCACCACCACACTACAAGCTGCAAAAGCTCTCAGTGAGTGACATAAATATCTCTAATCAAAGATGATAGTGTGTTTCAATGATTTCCTCATTAAAGGTGTTGAAGTAATATTGGTCAGATACGATGAAATCAGTGATTGGGAACATTTTTTTCCTCAGAAATTCTGTGAAATGGCTTTCAAATGTTGGAATGGATCAAGTATTGACTTAAAGAAGTCAGCCACTGAAATGAGCTGCACACTATTCTTGGCCTGCTAGCACTGGTGGCATGGGATTGAACTTCCTGCTTAGTGGCTTTAAAACTTCCCTAAATATTTTAGACCCACCATAATTTAGTTATTAAACAACAAATTTCTTCATCTTCCCTGAAAAGAGTCTATCTACTAAGTTGGTGTATGTGTGAGAGGGGAGATGTATGGCCTTGGAGGGTATATTGGAAACGCCAGGAGGTAGATACTCCAGTGTGTTTCCTAGCAAGAGACGCCCCTCACTCCGAGAATGACTGTGAAGAGACAAGGTTTCTGATGAGATTGTGCTGTCCACCGCAAAAATGTTGGGGCTGAAAAAGGTTAGAGGCAAAGTATATTTCCAGCATTTTCATTTTTACAACCTTCCTTAAGAAGGTTCCAAAGGGACAGTTAATTGCTTCTATATCTAGGGGTTGCTTCTTAGGTCTATTTTTGCAGGAATTATGTGCTTATAAATGTCTTCTCTGAGAAATATTTAGATAAGCTAATGACCAATATCCAGTTAAATTATTTCATTAACATCCACCACAGAGGTTTGCCAAATTATGACTTTTCACATTAAAATTTGTTTGTTTGGAAAAGGACATGGTTAAAAAAAAGGGCATGGTTTAAAGAAAAACACCCTAATTAAAAATTAATTAATCTGTTTAAAAGATTGTAATATACTCTTTATCCTAATGAAGCAGATTTCTGGAAACCCCAATATATTTCTGTCTGTTGTTTTCAGATGGCACCTATAAGTTAGTCAATATGTAGAAATACTGTGCATCGTGTTGGTAGAGAGATGGTGTATTTCTAGATCAAATGAGAATGTCAAAAAGCAGCATTCTTGTGTCATGAAAGAATGCTTTCATGTGTTGTATTTCAGCATTGGGCCTGTGGATTACCACATCGAAAAATGCTAAAAAGCACAGCCTTTCACAGTCTGTTCCTACATTTACACTAAGGACAGTTAGTTGTCCTTCTATATCTAACTGTTCACTAGATCATTCGGTGCTCCCATTTAAAACCCCAGGTGACAAGTTTTCTTCAATTTAAGTACTAGGAAAAGCTTTGCTCCTCCTAGAAAATCATGTTATTTTTTCCCCTTAGGGACAACTATTTAATTCCAGTGTTTCTCAGCAGGGTGTTACGGCATTTTGGGCAGAACAATTCTTTGCATGTGGAATTCCTCCTCACACCCCACTCCATCCCCTGTCCAGGACAGTTATTTAATATCCCTGGCCTCCAGACATTAATGCCAGTTGGGCACTCAGTCATTGTCACCACACAAACTGTCCACACATATTTCCAAATGTACTAGTTGAGAAGTCACTTGATAGTTTACTTCTTTTGTTTTGTATACCAGGAAACTCAATCGAATTTGTGAGCTTAATAAAATAGCTGGGTAGAATATTATATCCTATAAATCTGCATTCTAAACTTTCTCCCAGTCTTGAACATCCAGTTTAATTTATATTTTCTCTTGTCCTGAATTTCATTTTATACTCAGTTTTATTGTTAAGACAACTCAAATCCTTTGTTGAACCAGGGTAGGTACAAATAAATGACGATAACTTGAGAGTTCAGAGGGATTTTTTCTCCCCTTCATTCTTAAAAGTAGTACTAAGCTGAAAACAAAATATCCCTGTTACATACAGTATGCATTTTTAACTCTTACCCATAAAGTGACAGTACAACTACTCCTCAGATACGTGGCTCTTAGAAACTAATAAAAAATAATAGGCCAAAGAGCAGAAAATATTTTTTAAAACTTTTGATGTAAGTGACTATGTATAAACAAAAAATAACACATTTATATACAGAATAATTCTATGCAACAGAAATTTTATGTGGGAAGAGCCCACAGGAAGTATTAGTTACTTTTAACACTATAAAAATACTTTTGCTAAAAATATAAATTCTGTATGAAGCTAATTTTTGTGTGTCTTCATTTTAGATGAAAAATTTTAGAGGAAATCTAATCACACACCGTTCCTTTTCTATATGAGCAGAAGTGGTTTCAGTTCTGATTTAAATGCATGATTTCCTCAGATTCCTCTTTATTTTATGAGTACAGACAAAATTTTATTGAGGGAAACTATTAAGCAATTCAACATTATTAGGCATTTAGATATAGATTTGTTGCTTAAACCAAAACATCTTCAGTGACTACAGTTCCCAAATTGGTGTTTTGTTTTTTATAATGATGAGATAAAAGCTAAAGATGATATTACCCTATATTCTTCTTACCTTGGAAGTGCAAACAGCTATGTTAGCAGGCAGCTGGGAAAACTGCTTCAACTCAAATACATCACGCGCTGCCCATCGGCTCATGTGATTTTCAGCTTTGCTTGATCCAATCACATTCTGGTTTGAGTGAATGTAAGCCACTTCCTGAACACCATCTAGAAGGTAATCAATGTTTATTAAGTGATATATTATTATGAAGAAATATGGTTCCATGTATACTTTAAAAACTACTAGTATTACACTAAAAACACATTATACTTGCTTTATTTTTAACACTCAAGAAAAACATTAAGTTTGTACATTAACATGACAATATTCTTTTGGAAAAAAATTGAAAAGAGAAAGTTCAAATATGTTGGTCCAGGTTAACTTGGAAATGCCTTTTCCTTCTCATCAATATGAGAACTGCTGAGTTTAGGTAACAATCTTTAGAAATGAAGGTTTTGGCATAGAGAAAAGTGATAGTTGAGGGTCCTCTATATGAATTTGTTAATTTCAAAAAGTTGTTTATGAATTTAAAGAGCAGCGCTCACATTATCTGTTCCTTTAAACATGTACTTGATTACAGTGATGGAATGGGAGCATGGGGTTTATGACCAGGGAGTTTCGTTTGGTTGGCTTTGCTCAGTTTTATTGTTTGTATTTTGCCTTTTTTGTACATATGCCTAGAGAATGTCAAGATGGGAGCTTTTTAGGAAATGAAAAAAATTAACTCATGGCTTTTATCTGAAAGAGGTTTAAAAAATGGCTACAATTTTTATTGCTTTGCTTGTAGGCACCTATAATTTATTTTTAAATTGTGGTCATAAAGAACTGAGGCCTGTAAAAGCTCCCTCAAACAGCTCTGGCAATGAAGCTCAATTATGACCTTCAACACTTGTGCTGTTTCAGTCCTGAAGCTCTCTCAACCAGAAATTGCCAATCGTGCAAACTGAAGATGTTGTTAAATACTAAGACTAAAAGAGTAACTAGGATAACATTCCTCTTAAATTTCAAAACACCAGGTATTATTTACAGCACACAGTTTCAAAACCTTCAAAAGGATTCTTCTGGTAGAAAATTCACTAATTTTTCTTTATTTTGAAGATACGTTTTATGCATAATCCAAAATACCATTAGTTCCACACTATTGATACCTTTTGCACAGTTAAAAAAAAACCTCAGCTGATTATTTAAAAAATAATTTATGCAATAATTCCTCAAACCTAAAATTTAACTGTAGCACACAAATCAACGGATAATCCAGTACTTATTTACAATAGTACCAAAATATATGTCATAATAAACTTTTAAGTGAGAATACTAATAACCACAAAAGAATGCCTCATTTTTAAATAAGTCAAATGCAATAATTAAGGTTTCTATAGCAAAATATCCTTGCTTATATCTCAGCTTCTTTCAGATAGTTTTTTTTTGGAATAAGTCAGACACTTGCGAAAGCAATGCAAACTCTTAAAATCACCAAACAGTTTCTGGGCAGGGGATGGTGGCAGGGGAAGCAGTTTTTCAATCTCTTAGAATCCCTACATGAAAACAGACAGCAACTAGGCAGCAAAACCAAAAGCCCATGGACAACATTTACAACAAAATTAGATGACAGGATACTCCCATGAGCTAAAGTGCAAGCAGGTAGGGACAACTGGTAAGTAGCTACAAACTCCACATGGTATCAGGGTCTGTGTGAAGGCAAAGGGAAGCAACAGGGTGGCATCTGACAGACCTGACACCAGGAGACCCCAGATTAGCCAAGAGGCTTCACTGGAGAGCACACTGGGCCAACTGGAGATGAGCAGCTGAATGTGGGGAGGTTTCCTGCTCGCCAGTGCTGGGGGGTGCAGGGCACACAGTAAGACGCCCTCAAAAGGCTGCAGCAGGATTCCTTCCCCATAGGAACTCCCCAAACTGAGGGACCAACAATGGAGAGAAACTTCTGGGAGGGAACCAAAATAAGTAGGATAGGAGGAGCAGGGGTGAGGGAAAGAAAAGTACTGGAGCAATACAGGGAAGAGAAAGGGAGACAGGAAATCCCACCACAGTTTTGAACTCTATACAAAAATCACAAATGGGTCTCTAGGAAGTTGGAAAAAATTTCCTAAACTCTGCTTATTTAAAAAAAATTCAGGGGAAATAATTTTCTATAAAAATGAGCAAAAGAAAAGTAGCAGGATCAAATCTCATAAAAATTATTAAAAGAAAAGAAGAGAATAAGCAGAAAAATATCCCTTTAATGAAAACATGCCAAAAAGATGTGCTCATAAAACAAAAAACGATAAAAGAGATGAATCAACAACATAAGTCAGAATTATAATAACTCAGAAATGAGTGATAGAACTCAGGAAAGACTTAGAAATTTAAAAAAATTATTTCAGAAATGAAGACTAAACTAGAAGGAATATAACGGGTAAAAAAAAAACCCTGAATGGTTCTAGTAATTATATTCTGATAATATTGCTAGTTTATTCTTTGCATAATATGGGATAAAACAAATGAGCAATTACAGGACATTATGAGTAAATCATTCCCTATATGCTTGAGAACCAGAATTATCAATATGGAAGAAATGGTATTCAAATATAATAGAGAAGAGATTAAGTAAAAGCTTTATACTCTCAAATTATCAATATAAATATGGAAGTATAAATATAAACTCATTAGGTATTTTATCATCATACATAAATACATATATAGTCATAAAATATATATACACACAACATATATAAATATTAATATATATACAAATAATGTGACCACTTAAAAGGCCCAGAAACAATAACCAAGCCAATAGTAGCAGTGATCACTACTATTAACAGCACCAGACTGAGGTCTTGAAAGACACTTTCTCTCTAAAAGAAACCAAGACTCTTTAGAGAAATGGCTGATCCTAGGTCTGAGGAAGAAAATACATGAGATGATTCTGGAACATCTTGTAGTACTAGATAGTAAGGAAGCTTTCAAAGATGACTAGCATCATGCCGAAAGGTCTCAGGAACCAAAACGCTCATATCAAAAGGCTCCCACTGGCCAAAGATGGGAATATTGAGCCTTAATAATAATACTAATTGCAATGGTTGAGACTCACTATTGTTTGAGTCAATGAATTCATAATGATATTCAGACAAAAATGGGTCATCCTCTAAGGATGATATGGAATCAATTTATTATACTAAAAACTGGTAAATAAAGAAAAGAATTAAGCATTTTTCCTGCCTCTCCTATATGAACTATACCACTGGGTAAGCAGTATGAGATGAGGAGAAGTATCTCTTTACAAAAGCATTCTAACTAATAAATGAAATGAGATGTAGAAATTATCATTTTGCTACTCTGAATGGATGAATAGCTATAGGCATTAAGTATGGATGGCTGCTAAGATCATAAATAGAGAGAGGAGCAAACATTTTGTGCCTCCTATATTCTTGCCAAACACTAACTTTTGTCTTGTCAAAGGAATCGAATCTGAGCCTGATCTGGTCTCAGGAGTGAATTGCTCATTTGCAGGTAATACAGAGGACAGAGAAACATGTTCAACTGCAATGAGTGTACAATTAACTCTATATATGGTCCAGGTTCTTCAACCATTATATTGTTAAGACAACAAAAGGGATGAGGATCCCTGTAGATTACAAGAGACTATATACGATTTTTAAAAAATGGATGAGACTAAACTGTAATACCTAGGGTTGCACATTCATGTGATAAAACCATAAAAACGCAAATTAGTAATTACTATAGAAGTAAGAATAAGAGGAGCCGCAGAGGGGCTGTGATTCAGGTGGAGCACATGAAGGGGTCCTATCTTCCCTTCGTCCTTCCCCACACCCCTTCCTAATTTGTGCTTCAATGTAGCATCTTGATTTTAGAGCTATCTTACAAGCTAATTCAATGATCTGTTACAGAACTATTCGATTGTACAAAACAAACTTCTAAAAAACGTTTTCAGAATGTGTCTTTAGTTACCTAAAAGTTTATCCATTGATTCATACATCTGCTCTTGATTAACAACTTTCTCATTTGAACATTTCACTGGTTTTCTAGGTATGAAAGTGCTACTTTTCTTATTATGACTAGGCAATTTTGAAGAGAAACTGATTCTGCCTTTTACAGTTTTTGGTTTATGGCTCTGTTTAGAGAAACTGAAGTGACTGATAGATAAACTGTCATCTGAGGATGAAGAATCATCAATAAACTGAGAGTTACGATCCTCATCTGTTGCATACAGTTGGTTTGTTTTCTTTGTTGTTTTAGGAAAATTGTAAAGTTCCCTTTTGTCTTCCTTTTTTCTCCTAAACTTCAAACTAGTAGTTCTTTGCTCTCTTACTTTTGACTTGGAGGACATTTCTATGTCATCAGATTCATCACTAATATCACTAGTGCTTTTTCTTTTCATAATAGGTTTCAAGGTTGTGTTCTCAGGATTTATTTTTTTTGAAATTTTTCCATTTTCTCTGTCATCGGTCTTTCTACCATCATCATTATTTCTTGTTTTTACAGGGCTTTCTGTTTCAGAATCTTCAGATCCATCCAAGGGTGGCTTTAACCTTATACTTCTCTTAGGAAATCTCTGAGTTGTATATTGTGTGGGATAGATGACATCGCTGTCTTCGGATTCTGTGGCATTCTGTAAAATGCAATGTTCACCAGTATTTTTAAAATTTTTCTCATCATCAGACTCAGAAGAAACACTCTGTTCTAAAATCTTCTCACTTTTATAAAAAATACGTTTTTCATTTAGATTTAGGATGTTATCTAATTTCTGATGTTTTAAGGTACCAAGAGAGCACTGACTTTTCTGATGACCAGCATCTTTGGCTTCTGCTGAAAGGCACGTGGGCTGCTCATCAGAACTTTCATCATCAGAAGCAATATTTCCGTCATGACCCTCAACTGCTTTACATTTTGTCTCAAACAGTTTAGAGAAACCACACTGAAGTAAGGTAAGCTGTCCTGGAAAACCTGCAGCTTTACTTGAATCAGATGCTTTGTTTTTCGCAGTCTTTATTCCTGAGCTTCCCACTGATTCATCGTCACTAAAGTCACTGCAGAAATCACAGGCTTCCTTTGCCAGGGGCTCTGCGAGTTGTTCTGGACCTCTGGGTTCTTGACAGTCAGCCTCTCTAGGCTGTATAAAAAGCAATGGCAGAAACATTAGAAAACATCAATTATATGGAATTTACATGGATAATTATATGGAATTAACTATGGGCAGATTATTTAGGTACAAGTATATCACTTGGTGTTTCCTAAAAGTACAACATTTAATAAATAAATCTAAAGGATTTAATATTACAGCTTGGCATAGTCTTTTCTCTTTTTAAGTTGGATAACTTTCCAAAATAATTAAAAAGTTAAAGTAGAACACCATGTGTGATCAAAGTATTTTTAAGGAAAGTGGTCAGCTTTTAAGACTCAAGGACTCACGATTCTGGCCTGAAAAGTAAAAAGCACAAAATTCTTATTGCTTAAGAATTATCGAGGTTTTCTGTAGTCTAACACTGTGGTCTCCAATCCCTGGGCTGGCCGTAGAGCTCTGCTGCCTCCACCCCCCACCACCAACATCCATGGAAAAATTGTTTCCTATGAAACTTAGGGAGGGGGGGCACAGTAGGAGGTGAGAGAGTGAAGCTTCAACTGTATTTACAGCCACTCCCCATCACTCACATCACCGCCTGAGCTCTGCCTCTCCACCCCCCTGCCCCCCACCCTGTGTCCACAGGAAAATTGTCTTCCATGAAACTGGTCCCCGGTGCCAAAAAGGTTGGGGACCTTTGGTCTAGCAGATACTTCCAGTCATGCTTTAAGAAACAAATTAACAACAGGAATCAACAAGGTAAAGTATTCACAACTGGAAAATTGTTTTAATTGATTTAAAATAAGTCCAACAGAATCTTGATCACCAGAAATAAAAAAAAAATTTAAAGTAAAATTTACTACAAATTTAAATTCAATATTTAATTTTTTCACATTAATCAGGGTTAAACATATCCTCCAGTTTCCTAAAACTGAGGCTTCATTAAGTAAAAGATTTTGGGACAGTATTAACCAGTAATATTTCTGTCAACATTTGATACTCGTATATTTTTCTAAATTTAGAGGGGGGAAAATGTTCATCTCAAACTCAAAGGCATTGGGCTGGTATAAATTTATAGTTAAGTCTCTAAAAACAAACAAGAAAAAACCAGCAACAATAACAAAAAACCTTCCACACATATTTTTTACCTTTAAAATGGCCTTATGACGATAATATAGATTCTGTGGTATATGAGATGACAAAACTACCAAAAAGATCACAAAATCAAGGACTCAAATCAAATATCTGCTTTTGGTTAAAAGAATGATTTTTATTTTGGGCTTAATAATTTTAAATACATATCGATGGCAATTTTCCCATTTAATTTGCCATTTGGTAAAAAATTATTTATTTGGGTTGGGTTAGTCACCTACTTGGTACATTTAATTCTGGATTTACAATTTGGTATAGTTAAAATTCCAGTTGAGATGTAAATGCCTGATAACTGCTCCTGCACTTATTCTTATGATATGAATGTTAAATCTGCCTAAATTAATTTTACTCACACAATCTTCTGATTTTGTGTCCTTGACTCTTAAAAAGACTTATTCCTTACATGGTGAAAAATGAAGGGAGAAGAAACTTAAAATTGTCACAGTATGTTTCCGAGGTGTTGTGGGCTACAAACTCAAACGTTACTTGCCGTTTCTGGTTTGTGTGCTGGAGGTCCTTCTTTCAACCATGTTGTGGCTGTCATGATCCCTGCTTCCACCTGGCCTTCTCTCTGTAACGTTAGCAAGAAATAATGCAAATAACTGTGCAAAATGCGGTAAAAACAACCAGATAAACAATAGCAATAGTATGCTAAATCTTGGAGTTAAGAAAGAAAAACTGAGTGCAACTTGCTTTAGCATTCTTAATGTTATTTTTCAGTTTGCTACTTAAGGAACTCATATATATAGGTTTATGTAACATTTTAAAATATTCTTAATTCTCCTCTTAAAGTTTACTTTTTCAGACAGAGAACACTAATAATACTTTCCAGCCAACTCCATTAAAGGCACTGGTGGGGGGAGTGGAAGTGAAAAATGTTACATACCCAGCATGATATACATAACAACCATTCCTGTCATAATTATAGTAAGGACATATTAGTAACATTTTAAACACCACAGTGTTGGGTATTGAGAACTTGATATTCTAGCCTACATTGCTAGTACATTTATTGTTCATATTCATTAAAAATATTTCTAGTTTAGGTGTAGTAGACATTAAAATAAAATGTCCACCCTAATATGAAACTAAAAAGAATACCTAAATTAAAACTAAAATAACAGCCTTGCTACATCTTTTGGGAAAGTATCTTTTGAAGCTTTTGGTATATAATTTAGCAGAGGTATCTAATGGCTTAGATTCTAGAACAGCAGTCCCCGACCTTTTTGGCACCAGGGACTGGTTTCATGGAAGACAATTTTTCCACAAATGGGGGTGGGAGGGTGGAGCTCAGGCGGTGATGCATGGTCTGCTTCCTACCAGGCCACGGACTGGTACCAGACTGCATCCCAGGGACTGCAGTTCTAGAATATTAGATTCCCCTTCAAAAAGAAACAAATTCTTTTTATTTTTAAAGCTATATTTATTGATGGGGCAAGGGTAAATAATACTACCATCACCAGAGTTACAAATACCCAACTTATGAATACACAGATATACCAATGGTATGGCATGTTTCCAGCCACCAGGCATCCAGGGCAACAAATGAAAATCTCCCCTATGGATCTCTACAGAATGGCAAACAGTTTTGGAACTGCTATGAGTTCTTTACTCTCCATGCCTGGAGGCTATGATTGCAATCGGAGGGGGATCCCAGGGCTACCATTCCTCTCTTCTACAGAAGCTAAATGGCGACAACAGATGCAAGTGGCAGGACCAGAAATCCTGAAGCTGCTGAAACTCCTTTATGATAGATAAGTGGCCACTCCAGTCTTTGGTTGTTCAGGCCAAACTCCTTAACTCCTTTCTTTTTCTCATACCCTATATCTGATCCATCAACAAATTCTGTTAGTGCCACCTGGATAATATATACAGAATCCAGCCACTTGTCATGCCATCTACCACTGTCACCCTGGCCCAACCCACCATTATCTCTTGCCTAGATCACGGCAGTATCCTCCTGACTGGCTTCTTGCTTCTGTCCTTGTACTTCTATAGTCTAATTCTCAGTGGTTAGTCAAGCTAATGTAAATCAGACTGTCATTCTGTTCAGAACCCTCCAACTGCTTTTGTCTCACTCAAATAAAACTCAAAGTTCCTACACGGCTCTCTGTTATCTCTCTCGCTCTGTCTCTTGTTCTCTTGCTCACTCCACTCCAGGCACTTTGGTCTCCCTGACATTTTGAAATCATGCAGGGCATACTCCTCCTTCAGGGTCTCTGCATTTGTTCCCTCTGTCTAAAACACCTTCCTCCCTCACTTCTTTCCAGACTCAAATGCGGCCTGCACAGTGAGGGCTTCCTTGGCCACCCTATCTAAAATTGCATGCTCCTTCCTTGACAGTCCCTATTTCCCGGTTCTATTTTTTATCCTTAGAACCTGTCACAGCATACTCTATATTTCACTTATTTATTCTGTTTATTATTTATCTCCCCACATAGAATTTCTGGTAGACAGGATTTTTTGTATGTTTTATTCATTGATGTATGTCCAGCTCTATGAATAGTCCTTACATTCAGCAGATGCTCAATAAATATTTGTGAAATGAACTCTCAGTATCTATCTATAAACGGAACCCATAATATAGATAACAGAAAGTCAGTGCAAAATAAAACTAATTGTCCAGAAATCATGAGGTTAAAAGTGTTAACATACTTTCAAATTTTTACATTTTAAAACACTTTAAAGAGGACTTTCTACAATCTTTAAAAATTAAAAATGTAATACATGAAGTAAAATACTTCTTTTACTTTAAGATATATGCTCCCATTATACAGGACTTGGAATAATATTTTAAAACAAGCTTTGGCTATAAGTAGCATGAATCTAACCAGGCCTGAATAATCTGGTTGGTGACAAATAAGCAATTTTAATTCAAAATTTAATTTAATAATTGAGTGCCAATGATATACCTAGTAAGATGTTAAGCACATTTTACTACATAAAAAATGTAAGATAAGGATAGTCCTGTCATTAGCAACACTCCTGAAGGCAAACCAAGATATACTTAGGACAACCAGTGAACAAAAGGACTCAGTAACTTCTCATCTGATAGGTACATAACAACTTGTTTAACAAAGAAACAGGTGGCTATTCTGATAAAATAGAGAACTAAACTATGTCATATATGGCAGAAAACAGGATAAAAAATGCTAATATTTTTATAGACAATGATTTTAAATTAGAGGTATGAATATAGGCATGTCAGGTAGCATCTGGGCAGGGGAGGTGGAGGACAAACAAAGTTATTGATAAGAGAAGAGGAATAAGGAAGAACAAGTCCATGAAAGAAACAGCAGATTCAAAAACAAGAAAAAAAAACCCAAACAATAGAAAAAGGAGGATTTTAATGGGCCAGTTAATTTGGAATCAAATATAGTTACTATAAAATAAAAACTCAGCAGTATATGATAACCAGAATCTACTTAGAACTCAGGAAAATCAACAAGAAAAAATCAAATGACCCTATCAAAAAGTGGGCAAAGGACATGAACAGAAACTTTTCAAAAGAAGACAGAATAATGGCCAAAAAACATATGAAAATGCTCAACATCTCTAATCATCAGGGAAATGCAAATTAAAACCACAATGAGATGCCACTTATCTCCAGTGAGACTGGCCTTTATCAAAAAGTCCCAAAACAATAAATGTTGGCGTGGATGCGGAGAGATAGCAACACTCATGCACTGGTGGTGGGACTGCAAACTAGTGCAACCTCTGTGGAAAGCAATATGGAGATACCTTAAAGAGATACAAGTAGAAGTACCATTCGATCCAGCAATCCCATTACTGGGCATCTACCCAAAAGACCAAATGATACTGTATAAGAATGACACCTGCACCCAAATGTTTATAGCAGCACAATTCACAATTGCAAAGATGTGGAAACAACCCAAGTGTCCATCAATACATGAGTGGATTAATAAAATGTGGTATATGTATACCATGGAGTACTATTCAGCTTTAAGAAACAATGGTGATATAGCACCTCTTGTATACTCCTGGATAGAGTTGGAACGCATTCTACTAAGTGAAGTATCCCAAGAATGGAAAGACAAGCACCACATGTACTCATCATCAAATTGGTATTAACTGATCAACACATAAGTGCACATATAAGAATAACATCTATTGGATGTTGGGCAGGGGGGAGGGGGGAGGAAGAAGGAGGGCACGGGTATACGCATACACAAAGAGTGCAATGTGCACCACCCGAAGGATGGACATATTTGACACTCGGACTTGGGGGGGGGCAAGGGCAACATACGTAACCTAAACATGTGTATCCCTATAATATGCTGAAATAAAAAAAAAAAAAAACAGCAGCATACATCAGACATTGCATAATACTTATACTATTTATAGGATACCGTCCTCTTCCCCATACATTACTGGTCGTTTTGAACGTCTATTGAACTTGCCTAGCTATGATTACTGACATGACATGTTTATTATGTAAATGTTCTCTTCTACCTCCCATCAAGATGGTTTAAGTTCCTTAAGGACAGGGACCAATTGTTCTTTGAACTGCCTTTATGGTACTTACTGAAGAAATGAAGTACATTAAGGTTTTACTAGAAAGTTCTGGAAGTCAAGGGAAATATTCTGAAGTTCTCAAGACTTAGTTTCCTTATTGATATGATGAGGAGGTTGAAAAAGAGGATATTCTGGGATTTTTATGATACCCCTATTAATATCAATTAGAAAATAGGTTAATATCCTTAGTATTCTGGTAGATTAAAGAACTTAAAGATTTTTTTAAAGGATATAAATATTTTGTTTAAAGAATAAGAAACATCTGTATGCTGAGGATGAATACAATGGGGAGAGCTTGAAATACTGGTGTGGATCTTTTATTGGGAACAGAAAACAAAAATCTCCATGAGACATGAGAGTGTATCTCAGGGAGTATTTGATAACTTCTAACAAAAACATATTTTATATTTTTGTTTATTTAGGAAAATCTCCTTTTTTAGTTACTGACTTCAACAGCTGTTTTCAAAATAATAAACTTCTCTCTGTCAGTCTGAAAATGGCCTTCGAGTTCACACTATCTAGTGTATGTATCTGTATTTGTGTGTGTGCATTATTTATAACTATGAATGGAAAAACCTTAGGTATAACAAATCATTTTCTATTTGTCTAAAAGTAGAAATTCTAAATATAAGGCATTTTTGATAAAGAAAACCAAAAATTACTCTGAAAAGGCAACAGCAATTGTATTTCACATTTCCTGAGGGAGAAAAACCATATTTAAAAAATTATCGAAAAGGTCAGAGAACAATTTCACACCTCCAGGATGTCCCTTGTAAGACAAGACCCTTGGGATCTTAATTTGAAGAGGTTATGGATCCCAAAAAGCTCTCCTCGATGCTCTTTTGATCCTTGAACTGCTTCAAAATACCGTTTGGCATTTTCACTTCCAACCACCACACAGTGAAGTTGCTAAAACAGAAAAAACACAAGATATTTTTGAAGTGTTTGTTCCAAGAATATGTCAGAATTTCCTGGCATTCCCTGTAGATACACAGCTTTAGTTAGAGCAGGCAGAATCTCCTTAGGGAGGAAATTCTGTTTTAATTTCCCTGGCAGTTGCCATTATGGTGAGATACTAATAATCTGACCAGTCTTATTGAAGCAGAGATCTTACATTTGCTATTTTATCTGTTTTCTGAGTCAAGATTACATCTCTATGGAATAGCCACCTGACATAAATGTATAGTAATAAAAGAATACATATGAATACACTTTTCTCCTTTTGAAACCCTTATTACAATAGGAACTACTAAAACTGGCAGAAATAATCACTGTATCACTAAAGTTAAATTATAATCTAAAATAATTATATGATAACCACCTTGGTGGCAAACTAATCGTGGCATGATCACATTGTCAACTAACAGCAAAAACCCTATCGCTGTTTTAGAAACACTCCATCTTTGAAACAATTTTGAATATAGAAAGACCACTAGCACAGAACCCTTAAGGACGTATACCACTTTGGTATCAACATTAGTGTGTACCCTCCATTTGCTAGATATTTTACTAAAAGTAATGTAAATACGTAAAATTAAAATACAATCTGATTAACCCCATATGCACTTTAAAATTTCTTGGAAGAAATGAAGAATGTACAGAATGGAAAATAACTTTAGTTTATTGTTGATGGAGGGATGAGTAGGAAGTGATGCTTAACTACTGTGCTTATCATCTGAATTGATATGTACTGTAATAAGTTAATCTAGGCAACTGAAATTCTTCTCAATAATAGCTACCATTTATGAAACACTTACTACATGTGAAGCATTTTATTTATATCCTCTCATAGAATCCCTACTATGACCTTATAAGATATTATTTCCATTTTAGAAATAAAGTGGAGTTTCTCTATTATAAAAATAAAAACCTTAAGTTTAGAGGAATTAATAGCTGTCAGCTAAGAAGCATTATTCTGAAATTTGCTTGGTTTGACTGAATCCAATTTATACTCTTAACAATGTCTCACCTCTAGGATGTCCCTCTTAAAATAAGACCCTCGGGACCTTATTTGAAGAAGTTATGGATCAACATACCAAAACTTGATCAGTCTGATATCAATGTCCCAGAAATATGGGCTATAATGCTGGGAATGCAGAATCACAACAGCAATCTATGTAACTGATGGTGCAGTTCCCTATTTTTCCCTTGCTACTGAATCTTCCGTAAACACTGACGATGTCAGACTGCAGGACCTCTGCCTATGATCACCAGGGTAATTTGCAAGACTTATAAAGGCTTAATTGAGTCGTTATAAGTTTCTTAGCAAAGTTTTATCACAAAATTTACAAAAACCACATTATTTTGTAGTTAAACTAAATTTTCCAAAATAAGAAAACTCCAGTAAAAGTGAAAACCAGGTGTGTCCATCTGCAGGGTAATTATAAAAAAATCATTTTAGAACTCAAGAAGGTGGGGGAAAAATCAATAATTGAAAAATGTAGCTTAGCTTCTATCTTAAGAAAAGTCCATACAAGGCCACAAAGTGCTTGGATTTCATCGTAATAGACAAGGTATGCAAGATCAAGAAGTAAGAAGAAAAGAATGTTAATCATCGTAAGAAGTTTATGGCCCCTTTTCCCATCTTTAAGGCCAGCAGCATGGCATCTTCATAGCTTTCTCTCTGACCCTCCGCTTCTGCCTTCACATCTCCTTCATTTCTGCTTTCTCTGATCCTACTGCCTCATAGGCCCTTACAAGGAGCTTTGTGATTACTGCCCTGATAATCCAGGTGGCTTCAGAGATTAGGATGTGAACATCTTTGGAGAACCATCACTCAGCCTCCTACAGTACGAAAGTGCAGAAAGAATGATAGGGGTAGTCAAAATGACACAGAAGCCATCCTAAATGGGTTCCCATTGGTCAAATGTCAGACAATGTGAACATCAAAGTAAATAATGATATTTGATGAGTTGTGATCTGTTACTAAAATAGGACTTCATGAGTTCACACATATTAAATAAATAAATAGAAGGGAAAGCTTTTTTTTTTTTTAAATAGTAGAGTGCCGATGAGCAAAGAAGAAGGAATAATAGAAATAGAAAAATCACCACCTGACAGCCATCATAGCGGTAGCTGATGCAGGTAGGAATTATCAATAAATGCTAAGGCTGACAGATGCAGGTTTGATGAGGAATGGGATATTGGCATAATCAGTCTCAGAGGATCTCCCCATAAACTACTTATCAATGGTAAAGGGAAAAATTAGCAATTGTGCAGTGGAGAAACCTGACAGACACAAACTTGACCTGCAATCAAGATTAACATCACCACTGGTAGAGCAGGCCACCATCATGTGCCTTCTGACTGATGCAGTGAGAAGAGCACAGCCTCATGTCTGTGGTATTCCTGCCAAGACTGCTTGGCGTGAGTCTGGACTTGAAGAAACATCAAATGGACCCAGACTGAGGGACATCCAGCACAAGGAAAAAGCCTTATTCTTTCAAACTGTCAAGGTCATGAAAGACAAAGGAAGCCTAGGTAATTATTCCAAGTTGCAGAACACTGAAAAGACACAAGAAGTAAACGTAGCCATGATCCTGGATTGAATTCTGGAACAGAAAGGAAAAAGGAGACATTGCTGGGAGAGCTGGGGAAATCTGAATGGGGCCTGTGGATTCAAAGTAATGTTGCATCCGTGTTAATTTCTTGAGAAGGGCAACTGCATTTGGAGAGGAGAGTGGGGGGGGGCAAGTTGCAGAACAGTGTATACAACTCCGTATTTACAATGCATAAACTATTTTTATGTATGTATAAATAGGGGAGTATACTTCTTTCAGGGAAGAACACGCTGGACAATTCAGAGAGTGTCCTTGCTTTGGGGAAATACACACTGGTGATTAAGTCTGTTGCTCTCTCAGATGGTTCAGAAAAATACTAAAGATAATGGCTGCGAGAAAGAGAAAGCAAGAGTGTAAAATCTTAACAAGTGGGGAATTTGGGTGAAGTTAATTGGGGGTTCTTTGGGCTGTTGCAAACCTTATGTAAATACTTCTAAATACATTTTTATACATACATATATGAGATGAATTTTTGAATGCCAAACTTTAGATTGCATACAGTGCTCCAAATTAAAGGAGTATAGCTGCAATATGAATGATATTTTTACTTTTAAAAAGTACAAAATATCCGAATGCATTATCACAACAGACGCAAACAAGACACGTCAAAATAAAAGTCTCCCTTGAACAATATAGATCACCTCTTATTAGTCTAACTAGTGTTATAATGTTTGGGTGTATCCTTCTAGATCTCTTTCAATGCAGTTAGAGCTATACATATATACAGATGCTCCCTGACTTACAATGGGGTTATATCTGGATAAATCCATTATAAATTGAAAATATTGTTAAGTCTAAAATGCAATTTCAACTCACAATATTTTCAATTTATGGTGGGTTTATCCAGATGTAACCCCATCGTAATAGAGGAGCATACTGAATGCCTATTGCTTTAGCATCATCATAAAGTCAAAAATTCATTAAGTTGAATAGTTGTAAACCATCTGTACATATAGAAATAATTTTATGCATAAACACAATTGATAGACTATACATACTATTCTGCAAGTTGCTTTTTTGACTCACTTAAAAATGTCTCAGAGGTCTTGCCACATCAGTACATTTGATCTGACTACAATTTTTTTTTTGCTGTTGCAGAGTATTCCGTAATATAGGTATATCAGAATTTATCATTCTGTTACTGTTAGACATTTAGGCTGTTTCTCTTTTTATTTTTTAAACAAACACTAGACATGCTGAATATAAATTCTTATCATCCTTCATTGTGCATAAGCAAGAGTAGTTCTGTCCTTTAGATATAGAGAAGGTGCTATGTGTTTTAAAATGCTTAAATTAGCCTCTAAAATAAATGTACCAGTTGTATTCTCAACAACAGTGTATAAGTTTCTCTTTATAGATATCCCCCACCAACAATGAACCAATCTTCCCATCCCATCCCATCTCCCAAAAAACCCAAAACAAAATAAAAAAAAAATCCTTTACAGGCCAGGCACAGTGGCTCATGCCTGTAATCCTAACACTTTGGGAGGCCCAGGCAGGAGGATTGCTTGAGCCAAGGAGTTTGAGGTTGCAGTGAGCTATGATGACACCACTGCACTCCAGCCTGGATGACAAAGTAAAACCCTGTCTCCAACAACAACAACAAAAATCTTTTGCAGAATGTACAGAACACAATCTTCTTTTATTTCTCATCTCTAGATTATAAGTGTGGTTAAAGACCTTCTGAGATACGTGTTAACCATTTGTATTTTTTCTTCCGTGAAATGCCTAACCATAGGCATTTTATTAGTTTGTGGGAGTTCTTTATATTTTGTAAATGCTACTCCTTTATTCTATATATGCTAAATATTTCCTCCTGGTCACTCTTTGAATTTGGTTTGCAGTTCCTTTTTCATACAGAAGTTTCATATAAAAATGTAGTCAAATTTGCAACACCCTGTATTTGCCTTAGAAGCTATATTAGTTTCCTAAGGCTACTGTAACAAAGTATTACAAACTAGGTGGCTTTAAACAACAAAAATTTATACTCTTACAGTTCTGGAGGCTCAACTCTGAAATCAAGGTGTCCATAGGGCCATGCTCTGCCTGAAGATTCTAGAGAATGATCCTTCCTTGCCTCCTTCTAGCTTCTGGGGGTTGCTGGCAATCCTTGGCATTCTTTAGCTTATAGCTGCATCAGTCCAATCTCGGCCTCATGTGGCATTCTCCCTCTGTGTCTCTTTGTATCCAAATTTCCCTCTTCTTATAAGGGCATCAGTCATTGGATTAGGGTCCCCCCTAATCCAGTATGACCTCTTCTTTACCTCATCTGTAAAGGCTCTACCTACAAGTAAGATCACAGCTACAGGCACCAGGGCTTAGCACTTCAACATATCTTTTGAGGGGGAAGGGGCACAACTGAACTCATAATACATGTTTTGTTCAAGATTTGCATATTTATATTCACGAGAGAGACTGGTCTATAATTTTCTTGTAATGTCTTTGTCAAATTTTGGTATTAGGATTCTTCTGTCTTTGTAAAATAAGTCGGAAGTATTCCCTCCTTCTCTTTTTTCACAAGGAATATTGAATATTTGATAGAATTCACCACTGAAGTCATCTGGGCTAGGATCTTTCTTTGTGGAAAAGTTCTGAATTAAAAATGTAGTTTCCTGAACAATAATTATCTATCATTTTCCCTCATTTGAAGTTATCACTCCTAAGTATCCACTATTGCTAAGAAAAAGTTAGATATCTAATTCTAGTACTATTGCAGGTAATGATTTTTCTCTCCAGAAAAGTTTACTTTGGAAATTTTAAGGATTTTTCACTTTATCTTTGGTGTTTTACAATTCTAGGAAGATGGTCTAAGTGCGCATCTATTTTCATTCACCCTATTTAGCACTTGGTGGGCCCATATAATCTGCTGACTCTTGTTTTATACTTTTTGTTTGTTTGTTTTTTGAGACAGGGTCTCACATTGTCATCCAGGCTGGAGTGCAGTGCACTGCAGCCTCACACTCCTGGGCTCAAGCAATCCTCCTGCCTCAGCCTCCCAGGTCACTGGGATTATAGGTGTGAGCCACCGCACTGGCATTTTCTACCTTTTTACATTTCTTCCCTTATATGGGGTTTCTTCCCTTCTCTTCTTTTTATTCCCTTCTTCAACTATAAGACTAATATTGGAACTTCTAGATCTAGCTTCCATTTCTCCTAACTTTTCTTACATGTGTTCCATATGTCTGCTTCCTCAGCAATCTAGAAGAATTGCTTTGCTTTTTCTTTTAGACAAAAGCTTTGCTCTTTGCTACTCAACCTATCCCTTGAGTTTTTCATTTTCTGCATCTCTAATTGATTATTTTCTTAGTAGTCTATTCTTGTTTTTGGGATCCTACAACCTCATTTACCCTTTGAAGACATTATTTATATTTCTTTAAAAATGTCTTACGCTCTCCCATTAATTGTTTTTTCTATGTTAGTTCTTTTTTATTAGACTGCCTGTATTAGTTTCCCAGGACTTGTGTAATAAATTATCACAAATTTGACGGCTTCAAACAACAGAAATTTATTCTCTCACATATCACTGTGCTGAAATCAAGGTGTCGGCAGGGCCGTGATCCCTCTGGAGGTTGTAGGGGAGAATCCACTCCTTGCCTGGTCCTGCTTCTGGTGACTGCCGGCATGCCTTAGCTGTGGCCACATCATTCCCATTGGTGCCTCTGTGCTTACACTGCCTTCTCTGCTGTGTCAAATTTTCCTTTGGCTCTTTCTTATGAGGACACGTGTGGATAATTAAGGATAATCCCTGCTTCTCAAGATCCTTAATTTAATCACATCTGCAAAGACCTTTTTTCCATATAAAGTATCATTTATAGGTTCCAGAGATTAGGACCTGATATTTTTGAAGGCCATTATTCAGCCCACTATAGTGCCCTTTTCAGAGCGTTTATTTTGCTAAATGTTGAGCAATTATTTTTGGTTGGCTGTTCATCTGCCTTTAAATACTTTACATGCTTATCTCAGCCTATTGCGGTGGTTATATGAAGTGAGTATTTAGCGAGTATTCAGCAATTATTTAGCCTTCTGGGCAATGAGAGGGACTTTCTTCCAGGTATCAGCAAAAGTTTGGAGATCTGTTTTGCTTCTCTGCTTCCAGTATTTCTACTTATTGTTCCCACTGAGAACAGACACCTCTGTTGGCCGCGGTTTGCTACAACTGGTAAGATTGTAAGGGTTAAACCGCTTTGTTACATCAATGATACCCCAAAGGCTCCCTTCTTTTTTTAATACCTGCTGACTCTAAGCTTGGAATATCCAGAAGTTGCACCTACATTTTTCAGCAGTCTTCTTCTGACTGAGTCCAGTTTGGTTTCTTCCTTCAATCTGATCCCAATTGCCTTTTATCTTTTAGGATTCCTTACAATTTCTGGGCTACCAAGAGAACTCTTCTTGCTTTCCAACATTTTAATGTTGTTTTTTTTTTTAAAATCATATACGGATTTTTCCCCCAAGTGCTCTGAGGAACATTGGGAAGCTAGAGTGTGTGCTCCATCTGCACTTTGGTTCAAATTCTAAACTATCTTTAAACCATATTTAATGCCTTTTCCTTACATGATTGCCATCTTTATTTGTGTCATACAAAGTTCTTAAATTACCTCATCTTCTGAAGCCTTATGATATATTGTCATATAATATGTATTATATAACAAGCCATTTTATTTCATTAAATAAGGCAAATAAATAGGTAAAAAGGAAATGTATATAGTAATAGATTGAAAAAAATTACCACATGATTGAGGAAAGACTCTTACTTGTGACAAATCTAGGACAGTATTCTAAAGAATAGTTCCTAAGATGAAAAATAATATCCTACTTTTTCCAAGATTGGTTAAATAAGTTAGAAAAAAATAATTTTCAGGTAGTCGTGCTATACCAAAGTGGATAAAAAAGATGTATGGTTTCTGTTACAGTTAAATGCTTTCAGAAAAAACAAAAACTGCTGTGTATAATTCTATTTTTAGAATGAAGAAAATAGCATAAATTTAAGATTGGATCATTCTTAGGTTAACTTCCACCACATGTGGCAGATGTTTGCTCTTAAATAGATGCCAACCGAATATAGGGAGCAATTCAAATTTAACGTTTATAATTAAACTTGAACCTTATTCCAGATCTTCTCAAGTGTGTAGTTGTAAACTAAATACATTTTGTTTATTTAGAGGCATAAATGGAGTAGTAACTGATGTCTGAACCATATTAAAGAGTTAATGCAATTTTTAGATGAATACTAAAAGCACCGGCACAGTAGTGAGCACATTTGAGTTCTATTCCTGTAAGTTCATTTCCTGGGGCATCGCTGGGATCCCAGTTTCATTATGTGCAGTATCTCTAAGGCAGTGCTTCCCAATCTTCTTCATGTCATGGCACATATGGAAAATGGTAACATATGAACATCCACCTGGAGTAAACAGGGGAGGTTACTTGAGGCTGGAGGCTGGAAGCTGGCTTACGTACTCTCGCTGTCCAGAGAGCTGTGGGATCAACGTCTCAGTGCACCTGTAACCCATTTATGGCACACCATTATGTCCTGGGCCACAGTTTGGGGAGCTGTGACCTTGCTACTCAAAACTGTGGCCTGCAGACTAGTAGTACTAGCACTCCTGGGAGCTAGTTAAAAATACCAAATCTTGGGTTCTACCCCAAACCTACTAAATCAGAATCTGTATTTTAACAAGGTCCCCAGGTGATTCATGTGCTCACAAAAGGTTAAGAAGTAGTGAGTGTTCTAAGAAACTTTCAGCTCAAAAATTCAATGATTCTAAGAATTCATGTGTTTCACAGAAATATATTCAAAATTATTTTTCATAATCTTATTAAATTCCATTATAGAGAAAATTAAAAGCTTTTATTTTTATACAAATGTGTTTCTAATTTTTGAAAACAGACAAACGTTTACTTAATTAGAAAAATGAGAATATATTTACCTGCTTGTATACCTGTCGTAAATACATGATCTCCTCCACGGTTCCCAAGGATATGAGCCTCAGCACTTTGACATCTCTGCATTGTCCAATCCTATATGCTCTGCAAAAAGATTAAAAACAAGAACAAACAAAAATCAAGTGAAATAACTTTGGGTTCAAGAGGTAGCTTTTGTGTATGACAATAGAACATTATTAAAATTTTAATTAACTTTAAGAGAAACATTTTATGTTTAGATATGCTATATTATTTAGCAAAAATGCAAAAATATAAATTCACATAATAAGACTAGTTATTGAGGAGAAAAGTACTCTAGAAAATATATATATAAACCTCATTTCTGTTACAAACATCACCTTCCATTGTCCAAAAACTTTTCTTAAATTCAGAGTTTTTTTATGGCAGTCTTAAGCTTATGAATAGATTGTTCCCAAATGATTTCATTTATATAAAACTCTCCCAAATGGAAAGTAATCCACAGCGACAGAAAGCAGATCAGTAGTTGTTTGGGGAAATGGGAAAGCAGGAGTAGATTACAAAGGGGCAGAAGGAAAATTTGGGGGTGATGGATATGTTTATTATCTTAACTGTGGTGCTGGTTTCACAGGTGCACACATATGCCTAAACTTATCAGTAGTGAATTTTAAATATATCCAGTTTATTGTATGTTGATTATACCTTAATAAAACAGTTAAAATTTAAAAAAACAAACAAACAAACCTTGGAGAAAGGGAAAAGTAATCAACTAGAAAGTATATGGAAGTGTGGATTTATAGTCCTCATCCACAGAGACTTCAATTCAGTGGGTCTGACTGAATCACTGAGCTGACTAGTAGCCCAGGTGTTCTGATATGCACCAGAGTGCAAATTAAAACTCTAACCTGACTCATCACAATGGTTTAACTAAGCTACTCCCTGCAGCTTTTCCCATATGGAGGCTTTATTGGATGCTCTGAATGAGCACCAAATGCCTGTTATAGTTGCTGAGAGGAACACATGCTTGAAAATGTTACAACTTGGGGGAAATTTATTTTCGAACTTGTAATGTCACTCCATATGTTGTTATATTTGGTGTTCCCTCTGCCTCCTTCATAGTGATTTCATTGTCATTTATTTCTGATTAACCAGTTTTTCTCTCTTGATTTCCTCTTTTTTACTGTGGTAAAATATACATAACAAAATTTAATCATTTTAACCATTTTTAAGTGTGCAGTTCAGTGGCATTAAGTGTATTCACATTGTTACACAACCATCACAACTATGCATTTAAAGAACTTTTTCATCTTCCCAAACTGAAACTCTGTACCCATTAAACAATAACTCCCATTCCCTGGTCCCCCAGCTACTGGCAACCAATATCCTACTTTCTGTCTCTTTGAATTTGATGACTCTAGGCACAATATATTAGTGAAATCATACAATCATTATCCTTTTCTGGCAAAAACAGGCATCCTTTCCTTATTGCTGATATTAGAGGAAAAAACATTCAGTCTCTCATCACAGAGTATGATGTTAGGTGTGGGTTTTTCATAAATGGACTTTATGTTGAGGAAGTTTCCTTTTATTTTTAACTTGTCCAGTGTTTTTTATCATAAAATGGTGTGGAATTTTATCAAATGCCTTTTCTGCATCGATTGAGACGATCATGTGTTTTGTTCATTCGTTAATGTGGTATATCATATTGATTGACTTTTATAGGATGTTGAACTATCCTTGTGTTCCAAGAATAAATTCTACTTGATATATCTTTTCAATATGCTGCTGAATTTGGTTTGCTAGCATTTTATTGATTATTTTTGCATTAATATTTATAAGAGACATTGGTCTGTACTTTTCTTATAAAGTCTTTGTCTGACTTTGGTACTGGGGTAATGTTGGCCTCATAGAATGAATTAGGAAGTGGTTCCTCCTTTTTAATTTTCTGGAAGAGCGTGACAAGGACTGGTATCAATTCTTTGAATGTTTGGTAGAATTTACCAGTGAAGCCATCTGGTCTTGAGCTTTTCATTGTTGGGAGGTTTTTGATTATTGATTCAATCTCCTTACATAGTTATAGATAAATTTAGGTTTTCTATATCTTCATGATTCTGTCTGGGTAGGTTGTATATATTTAGGAATTTGTCAATTACACCTAGGCTATTCAATTTGTTGGTATACAATTATTCATAGTACTCTGATATAATCCTTTTTATTTCTGTTAAATCAGTAATAATGTCCCCTCTTTCACTTCTGACTTTACTTATTTGAGTCTTCTTTCTTTTAGTCACTCTAGCTAAAGGTTTGTCAATTTTCTTGATCTTTGCAAAGAACCAACACTTGGTTTCACTGATTTCCTCTATTGTTTTTCTATTCTCTATTTTACTTATCTTTGCTCTAATGTTTGTTATTTTCTTCCTTTGGCTAGCTTTGGGTTTAATCTTTCTCTAGTGCCTTAAAGTGGAAAGTTAGATTGTTGATTTGAGACCTTTCTTCTTTTTTAATGTAAGCATTTATAGGTATAAATTTCCCTCTTAGCCCTACTTTTATTGCATCCTGTAAGTTTTGGTATGTTGTATTTTAATCTGTCTCAAGATATTTTCTAACTTCCTTTGTGAACACTTCTTTGAACCTTCAGTTGTTTAAGATCGTCTTGTTTAATCTCTATGTCATTTTGAAGTGTCATCTTCTCTTCTTGTATGCAACAATGAACTATTTCTCGATCAGATTGTGATGTGCAAGAAAAAGTGGCTTTGATATGACAACCGGCAACGACCAGCTCAGTGGCTGGACAGAGAAGAAGCTCCAAAGCACTTCCCAAAGCCAAACTTGCACCAAAAAAAGGTCATGGTCACTGTTCAGTGGTCTGCTGCTGGTCTGATCCACTCCAGCTTGCTGAATCCTGGTGAAACCATTACATCTGAGAAGTATGCTCAGCAAAATTGATGAGATTCACCAAAAACTGCAATGCCTATAGCCGTCATTGGTGACAGAGAGAGCCCAATTCTTGTTGACAATGCCCAACCCCACAACCAATGCTTCAAAAGTTGAACGAATTGGGCTACGAAGTTTTGCCTCATCTGCCATATTCACCTGACCTCTCACCAAGTGACTACCACTACTTCAAGCATCTTGACAACTTTTTGCAGGGAAAACACTTCCACAACCAGCAGGATGCAGAAAATGCTTTCCAAGAGTTCGCAGAATCCCAAAGCACGGATTTTTATGCTACAGGAATAAACAAATTTAGGAATAAACAAACTTATTTCTCATTGACAAAAATGTGTTGATTGTAATGGTTTCTATTTTGATTAATAAAGATGTGTTTGAGCCTAGTTATAATGATTTAAAATTCACAGTCCAAAACCACAATTACTTTGCACCAACCTAATAACTGACCAGGGTATCCCAATCCTTTCCTAAGCGGGGAAAAATTCTAACAAAATTTTACCTCTCTCCTCCATCTCCATCCTGATGTTTACTGAAATTACATGAAGTTTTAGGTCTTAATTGTTACTAATTTTTTCATACCATTCCTTTGTATTTTGGGGACTTCTTTCTTTATAACTGCTTTAAGTCACTCAGCCACACTATCAACAATTTTTTAGACTTAACTATAAATATGAGAATATTCATTGACTATCACTGATTTTTTATATTTTGGCTTCTTAATATTTCATTTGTTGAATTATATCCTTGAGCAATGTTTTCAGACCATGAGCAATAAATTTTCTGAATTCCTGGATGGCAATGGTTGCTTTTATTTTGTGCTTACATGTTGATATTTTAGCCATTGATTCCAAGTCAAAATAATTTTCTTTCACATAAAGTCACACAAATTTTTTCACTCTGACAACTCTATTATCAGACAGAATCCTATAATGCAGATGAAAATCTCTTCTCATCTGATCGCCTGAAATGAGTCTGATTCTCATTTCTCTGTTGATAACTTGTTTTTTCCTTTTCATTTCAGTTTTCATAAATCATTCTCTCCCTGCTTCTCACTCTGAAATCCTTTAGCCCTTCTCTTTATTATTGAAACTTAGAAATATCACCAAGATATATATTATCTCCTCTTCTTAGTCATTATTGCTACTTAGTACTTAATGTCTCTTCAAAATTAACAAAAATTTTCTCCAGTTTGTCTTCAATTATCTCCCCATCCTCCAGTCTCTCTGTTCTTTTTTTCTGGAATAGACAGATAATGATTCCTGGGATTTTTCCTCAATTTCTTTTTATAAATATTTCACATCTGTTTGTTGCTTGACTTTATGTTTTAAAATATTCATTCCTTTTATCTTCCACATCAATTTCTACCTTTAGTTCTCTCCATTTTATTATTCAGACCTTCTGCTGAGTTATTTTATTTTTGCAACAGTTTTAATTGCTAAGAACTACTTTTGTTTTCTGTGTTGTTTTTTTCTGAGTGTTCTATTTGTATTTTATTACCTTTAGTGTCTGTTTTTCACTTTTTTTTCATACTGCTAGTTTTATTAAAATGTCCCATAATTCTTAATTTTCCATTTATATTTAAAATGAGGAACCAGGTGGATCATAGTGAAAAACCGGTCTGGGTTTCCATGCAGGTAACAGGCCTATTTAATCATCTCCCCTTTTTATGTCCTGCGGAGATCCGGGACTACTTCAAGTTTGGCTCTGCTGTATAATCTGCTTCCGACACCCAATCTAGGAACCTTTCTACAATCAGATCCCCCATTTATTTATAAAATTAGTGAAATTATATTCTTTCAGCTTTAATCAAGGAGCACCTGTTACAGCCAACCCCAACATGGGGTGTGGGAGAGGAATGTGTATTACAGTCAGCACATTAATTAATTTCCCAGAAAGATGTACTCTGTCTATGCCCATATCCTGTAGTTACTAACCTCATGTTTGACATTTCTCTGTTCTTTCTTGCAGACTTTGGATTGTGGTTTTTCTCTTCTGACATCTTTATTACACAGATTCTATTTGCTTTCTGGCTTTCAGGATTTTCTCAAAACTTCTGATCTCCTAATAGAGAACTGACCTATTTTTTCATACAGTATTATGGATTTATTCTTTCTTCTTAAGCCATTTCTGTCATATTAATGGGATTTTGAGATGGATGGAAAATAAATGGATATTACTGGCCCGGTATCTGGATTCAGAAACTCAGGGTTATCTTAAATGGAAGTTTTCACAAGGTTTCACCTCTTTTCTAATCGCAGTCATATTATAATATAAGCAACCTAAAAGGTTCAGGAGTGCTTTTAGGTTAAGAGTATATACACATCACTTTAAATTTTGTCAGTATCATACCTGTCAATGGCTTGAAGATCATTGGCTGGATTCCACGTAGGATCAAATAATATAACAACATTGGCACCAACAAAATTGAGGCCTAGTCCACCAGCCCTAGAGGAAGTAGATAAAAAGCACATTAAAACAGCAAAAATTAATTTGTTGTGTTACAACTGAATTGTGGCAGGTTTCTACAGCCAAAAGAATACAATATTGCATTAACTTCATAAAAGATGATTAAAACACAAATATGCCACAAATGAAATATCTATGGCATATTCTTTTTCTACCATTCTAGAAAATCCCTAAAAAGTCGGCCATTAGAGCCCACATAAATAGGTTGTGCCAGTTTTTACATTATTTGGATACTCAAATACCACTCTGCAAGATTTTCCTAACATAATTTAAAAAAACCATTAGTACAGTCTAGCTAAATAAAGTAGTACGTACATTTAAAAATTCACTCAAGGAATAGATGCACATCTCCTTATTCCTCCCAATACAGCTAAATATCCTGGACATTATACATAAAATAAACATAAGTCTCTGAAAGATGGAGAGAAGACAAACATGTGATAGATTACAAGACTTAAGGAATGACCTGGCTTCCTTTCTGCTTAATATATTCCAGGTTGGGTTCTGGAGAAGCTAGTGAACTGGAAATGCCAACAGTGGCAGACAAAAAAATGCTGCAAGAAAAGCCTTTTCCCTTTAGTCAAAGAACCAGGAAAGGTGTAGCCTTACAAGGCAGAAAAATCATCTACTCCTGCCAAACACCAAGGAACAATCTGTGGCCCCACCCCTACCCTGTGAGCAAAGGCTGAGTGAGGCTGCTAGACTTCCACCCTTGCCTGGCTATAATGAGGCACCACTCAGTCCTTCTGGGGTAGTGTCAGAGAAGACTGAGAGAGATGCTGGGACTTTCATTTTCTTCCCAATGAAAATAGGGTAATCCTCTGTGGTGTCAGGGGTGGCTATCTGGGAGCAGCAATAAAGCACTTCCCTCTTAGGGTACCAGCAGAGACCAAACAGGGAATCTAAATTTCTACCCCTATTTGGGTGGCGTAGTGTCATGGGAGATGCACTAAAATAGATTTAAATAAGATACAGAATCTTATAAAATAATACTCAAAATATCCAAGATACAATAAAAAATCACTTATACCAAGACCCAGGAAAATCTCAGCTTGAATGAGAAAAGACAATCACCAGATGACAACACTGAAACGAATCAGATATTGAAATTGAAATTATCTTATTTTAATGCAGTGAAAATATCCTTTAGGAGGGAAAGGGAAATTATGACATTCTAAAATTAAGGAAAACTAAAGAGAATTTGTCACCAATAGACTTAACCTAAAATAATGGCTAAAGGAAGTTCATTAAATAGAAAGGAAATGATAACAAAAGAAGGCCTGGAGCCTCAGAAAGGAAAGAGGAGCATCAGAATGGGTAAAAATAGAGGTAAATATAGAAATCATTCTATTTCTCCTCAATTTCATAAATCGTATTTCACGGTTAAAGAAAAATTGTGACATCATCTGGTAAGCTGCTCGATGTATGTAGAGGAAATACCTAAGACAATTATATTTTAAAAGTGGAATAGGAAAAGGGACTTAAACACAAGTAAGGTTTCTACACTTATTCAAATTGGTAAAATTGTATACCACAGACTATGAAAAGTTACTATGTATATTGTAATATCTAGAGTAACTGTGAAGAAAACTATACAAAGGACTACACTAAAAAGCACTATAAATAGATATAGAATTCTAAAAAATGTTTAAATAAAAGAAACAGTGGAACCAGAAATAGGAAATAAACAGAAAAAAGTTAAATCAAATATATCAATGATTACCTTAAATGAAATGGCCTAAATATACCATTTAAAATCAGTGATTGGCAAAGTAGATTAAAAAAATGATCCACCAATATGCTATCTACAAAAAAACACTCTTTAAATATCATGACATAGGTAGGTTGAAAGTCAAAGGATGATAAAAGATATGCTATGCAAGTGTTATGAAAAAAGGCAGATTTGACTATATTAATATTATATTAATATAAGACACAGTATACATCAGAGCAAAGAAAAAGAGGGATAACACATGGTGATAAAAAGATCAATCTACCGGGTGAACACACCAAAACAGCAGAGCTGAAAGATACATGAAGTCAAACTAATAAAGCTGAAAAGAGAAATAGACAAATGCACAACTATAGTTGAGGATTTCAATACCCCACATTCAGCAACTGATTGAACTATTAAGAGAGAAAATCAGCAAGGATATAAAAGAACAAAACAACCAACCAATAGGATCTAATTGGCATATTTAGAACACTCCACCCAAGAACAACAGAACACATCCTTTTTTTCCTTGTACCCATAGAACATTACCAAAATAGGCCAAATCTTGGGCCATAATACAAACCTCAACAAATTTGAAAAAACTGAAATCATACTGAGTATGTTCTCTGGTCGTAAGGAATCAAACTAGAAATATGTTACAGAAGGACAACAGAAAAACTTTCCAAACACTTGGAAATTAAACAACATATATCTAAATAGCCCACGGATCAAGGAAAAAATCTGAAAAGAAATGTTCGAATACAAAGAATTATAAAAAAAATAATTTAACAAAAATGAAAATACAACATATCAAAATATGTGGATGTAGCTAAAGCAGTGCTTAGAAGAAAATTTATACCACTAAATGCTTACATTGGAATAGAAAAATCTCAAATCAATAATCTGAAGTCTTACCCCTACGAAACTAGAAAAAGAAGAGAAAAACTCAAAGCAAGCAGAAGGAAGAAAATAAATATAATAGAAAAAATCAGTAAAATTAAACATAGGAAAACAGTAGAGAAAAATCAATGAAACAAAAAGCTGGTACTTTGCTAAACTTCCAGTAAGAATGACAAAGATAAAAAGAGAGAATATACAAATTACCAATATCGGGAATGAAACAGGTGCTATCGCTACAGATGCCGCAGCTATTAAAAGGATAAGTGAATACTATGAAAAACTTTATGCTCATAAATTCAACAAGTTAGAAGAAATGGACCAATTCCTGAAAAACCACAAACTATTAAACTAAACTACATGAACAATTTGAATAATCCTATAATCAATAAAGAAAATGAATATGTATTTTAAAAGCTCTTAGGAAAAAAAATCTCCAGGCCTAGATGGTTCCTCTGGAGAATTTTACCAGTTACAGAAGAATTGATACCAGTTTTATACAATAAGCATGCGAAAAGATATTCAATATTATTAGCCATTAGGGAAATGCAAATTAAAGCCACAGTGAGATACATGTCTTTGCATATCCATCAGAGTGGCTAAAATAAAAAATAGTGACAACAGCAAATGGTACTGGAGATGAAGAGGAACTTGATCACTCATACACTGCTGTAAGGAATGTCAGATTATATAGCCACTCTGGAAAATAGTTTAAAAGTTTCTTATAAAACTAAATATGCAACTAACATACAATCCAGCAGTTGCACTATTTGGCATTTATCCTAGAGGACTGAAAACAAAAAGAAAACTGTACAAAAATGTTCATAAACTTTATTTGTAATCACTGAAAACTGGAAACAATCCAGATGTGCTTCAACAGGTAAGTATTTAAACAAAGTGGTATATCTGTACCATAGAATACTACTCAGCAATAAAAAGGAAAGAACTATTGATAACATGCAACGATTTGGATGAATTTCCAGGGAGTTATGCTGAGTGAAAAAAGCCAATTCAAAAATGTTGTACATACTGTATGATTCCATTTGTATAACATTCTTGAAATAAAATGATAGAAATGGAGAACAGATTAGTGGTTTCCAGGGGTCAGGAACAATAGGGAGAAAGGAAAGTGGGTGTGGCTATAGAAGGGCAACATGAGGGATTCTTGTTAACAGAAATGTCATGTATCTTCACGGCATCAATGTCGGTATCATGGTGATGATATTGTACTATATTGTACTATAGTTTTACAGTTGTTACACTGGGGGAAAACTGGGTAAAAGATACATGGGATCGTTCTGTATTATTTCTTAAAACTACTGTGAATCTATAAATATCTCAAAATAAAAAGTTTAATTAAAAATATGGCTAACAATAACATCCATATAGACTTAATATAGACTCTCCTTTTGGTACTAAGAATTACTTCCACAGTCACATGTTGATCACAATGTAGGCAGCCAGGACTCTACAAAGTACATTTCAGACCTGTCACAATGACCACAGAGAGAGCCAAGGGTTATACTGCACTGAGACGCCACAGGTTCTCTGTCTCCACTGAGAAGAAAACAAGATGAAATAACATCAATGCTTACTTTATAATGAGCTACATTTTACACTTCCCTGGACCTAGAGTTCCTTTCTCCCCAAATTTCTTCTTTTGGCTGATGATATCACCCATATACGCACTCATCAAAGCCAAAGCCACCCTAGGTACCACAGACTTGTTCTCCGTCACTACTCCCCTTCCCACTGAGAGAGAACCAGTATCGAGTCCTGTCAGATTTACCTCAAAAATGTCTTTCTCACGAGTCCCGTCTCCACCCCTATTCCCACTGCCCTGTCTCAAGCTGTTATTATTAATACATTGTATTTGCATGTATTACTTCATTGGCCTCCTAACTGTCCTCCTTTATCTCAGACCTTAAGTCTGTTCTCACATGACATACAAATTATTTTAAGCACAGAATATAAAAAACTACCAATCCTCCATTTAAAACTGCTCAATTCCTATGCATCAGAGACCAACTCCTGAGGCCTCAAGGACCAGGCCCACCATCTCTGCAGCTGGCATCACACTAGTCATTCTAGAACTTTATCCATGAACTACCAAAATACTTAAAGTTGCCTTCACACACTGCCTTCACACAATATTCTTTCCTCTCTTCTTTGCCTGTCTAATTTCTACTTGTCCTTCAAGCATCACTAATGAAGCCTGAACTAAATATTTCTCTTCTGTGCTTCCTTCTACCCTGCATTTGCCTTATGGTATTGTAATCATCCTTTTACATATTTCTGAGCAACTCTTCCTCCACCTCCATACTTTTAAGTTCTAAACTTTAAAAGAGCTGCCTTCTTCTCCAGGACC